ATTCAGCAACAGACAATGTTTTAGAAGACATTCTGATGATTTGAGTTTTTACTTTATAGAATTCTCCTATGTTTGTATTCTACAAAAACATTTATAGCAAAACCACAATGAAACAGACAGTGTTAGTTGAAAAATTTACTGTTGCTTGCATTTTCATATTCATAAAAGAAAAGCAATCCCCAAAATAACGAAGTTTACCGGCAACATTTAGTATATATATTAGATAGACATCAGTAAGATTTCCAGTAAACATAAAATTTCTCTCCAAATGGTCAGATGCTTTATTTAGATTATAAAAAAACTCCAAAAGATAACAGTGAAAGTTCTAATTATTGAATTCAAATCATGTTTGTGAAAAAGAAACATTACCAGAAGTCAAATATTCAAGCCTGCAGAAAAAGTTGTGTTTATTTAAATGATTGCAATATGTTTGATTTTATGTTTTGTTTCAGGAAACTGATCAAACTAATTTAAAGTGATGTTTAATTATAATTTTAAGTTTAAAAAATAATAAAATAGAAATTTCCATTCCTCAAAGATCTCTTTTCATGGATAAGGATGTCACTCACTAGAACAACTATCTCTGTTACATCTTTGTCACAAAACTTTACAAAATGGTTATTACAAAATAGCCTTTGAAGCAGCATCAAAGACCAAAAATATTCTGGACTCAGTCTGAAATAATGTCCTTAATTCTTGTATATTGTCTCCCTGAACTTGAAAAGGAAGAAAGAAGTCTCATTTCATCGGCCTGACCCTTATCCTTCATAGCACCATCACACAATTCTGCTATGTGGCATCACCCAGCACCGCAGATCACAATGTTTTTCAGCAGACTACAGTAAAGGGCAATCCTCTTATACTAGATCCATACCCAATTACATACATTTATTCCATTTTTCTATGTATTTTTCCTATATAGTAAAGAAAACCTGAATTTTAGAAGAATGTGAAACAATTAGACAAAGAAAGTACTATGAACATTTATCTTACTTCACATTCCAGATTTCAATGTTAATTAATAAAACAATCACTGGAAAAAGAAGCACATCAGTGTAGGAAAAAGTCTTTATTAAAGGTGTTGTTCCCCTAAAATATTTCATACTGTTTTAAAATCTGTTTAATTAAAAATTGTATGTCGGCAGAGTTGATATAAAACATCAAAATGAAGGAAATATATAATTTGAAATAAAAATATCTCTACATTTTTTCTTTATAGTACATTTAAAGGTGAATCTGTAACCTTGGGTATTAGGGGAGTCTGTTAAAAAAATCAAAAGCTACTTCTAAGGATTGTCAATGATAGATGCCAAGATGACAATTAACAGTTTCTGGTCAATGCATTAGGTCCTCTGTGGACCATTTTAGTGATAAAGTAGATTTCTAGCAGGTTTTTAATAGATGTCCTGGTTGCAAGGTTTTTAGAATTATATGTACCAATACGCTAGCTGATAATCTGTGCAGTTGCTGCAGCATAAATGCGATAAGTATATGATTAGATAATCCAGTCAGCAATCCTGCCAATACATAGAACTCATTACAGCAGGATTTTCCAGATAAAATGCAAAGGAAATCTCTCATAGAATTCATTATAGGTTGTAATGACTTACAGTCACAGTTAGGAACGGAATCCATTGCAACGAATGGAATCTCATCAAGAGCAACCTTACTTGAACGTATCATTGAGCCACAGCAATCTTGTCACTCCTCCTTGCTGAGAATTGCAGATTGTTAAGCAAGTGTCCACATCAATACTCTTCTTTTCACATTTTCCAAAGTCTCAACGTCTTTTTTGTAATGTGGTAACCAAAACAGGATGCAGTATTCCAGGTGTGGCCTTACTAAGGCTTTTTTTAATCTAATTTTTTATCTTATCTAAAGTAACTGGGTTGTGGCTGTAAAATTACTCTGTCATATTTAATTCCTTCCTTCCATTCTCCAAGGAACATGAACTAATTATCATTGCTTTGTATTATAGAAGTTTGAAACAATACTAAGAAACCTCCCCTTAAGTTTCATTAGCATATGTGCTGTCAGATCAAAATATAAATATAGAAACCAAAACTCAGACAAAGCTAATTTCTCCTTCCAAAAGAGTTGGAAAGTTTCCTGTGTTTTTAATGTTTTATTGCAAACAATAACTATGATGAGTAAAATGGGCTATATAGAATACAGCAATTCTACTGTAACAGCCATTTCTAGATTTTGGCAGATTTTTTAAAAATTATCTTTTCCCGCATCTTCTGGGTATTGAAGTTAGACTGTTTGGTCTGTAGTTTCCTGGATCTGTTTTTTTCCCTTTTTTGAAGATGGAAATCACATCGGCTCTTTTCCAGTCCTCTGGTAGTTCCCCTGCACTCTAGGATTTTTGAAAGATGTGGTACAGTGGTTCTGAGATGACCTCTGCCAGCTCCTTTAAAACTCTGGGATGTAATCCATCAGGTCCCGGTGATTTGTATTCATCAAGATCAGACAGGTGTTCTCTTACTATTTTTTGCTTATTTTAAATTTTATTTCTTGTCTGTCAGCAATTTTTGACTGCCAGCTATTCGATTCTCACCCGCTCAAGGTTGACTCTGCCTTCCATCCTTCTGAAGATGGTAAAATGAGGACCCAGCTTGTTGGGCAATATACTGATTCAATAAACCGCTGAAAAGTAAAGGTTCCCCTTGCACATACGTGCTAGTTGTTTCCAGCTGTAGGGGGGCGGTGCTCATCTCCTTTACAAAGCCGAAGAGCCAGCACTGTCCGAAGACGTCTCTGTGGTCACGTGGCTCTGTGGTCATGACTAAACGCCGAAGGTGCACAGAAAGTGGTCCCTATTGTTGCATTTGCATTTTTACATGCTTTCGAACTGCTAGGTTGGCAGAAGCTGGGACAAGTAATGGGAACTCACTCCATTATGCGGTGCTAGGGATTCGAACTGCTGAACAGCCGACCTATCTGATCAACAAGCTCAGCGTCTTAGCCACTGAGCCACCGTGTCCTTATAAACAGTTTATAGAGGGCTATAAAGCACTGTGAAGTGGTACGTAAGTCAGTGCTATTTCTATTGCATTTCTCTCACTGCCTGCATACATAGCTTTTAAAAACAGTAAATGTAAGAAATTGTATGGAGATATTATAAACAATGTTATAAACAATGTCTAACAATTTCAGTCATGGTAGATGTGGCTGCTGAGACTAGTCTTAGTTAGTTGCATGTGGCTATATAATATACAGTAGTAAACACCATAAATAATTGTTGAAAAAAACCCATGGTGTTGATTTGCCATTTATACATTATTTTATCTGTACATACACTCTGGTTTTTTTATGCTGTGAGCTATCCAAGAAGCAACTGGAATTCTAATTGAATGAATTAATGAGTGAGTGAGTGAATGACTACGATGACCAGATAAAATGAAATAATAGGAATATGCATTAATCAAGAAATGGACAATATGAAGAAGCAGTAATCAAGAAGTAGGAATAGCAATATCACTTAGACTTATATACCACTTCACAGTGCTCTACATCCTTCTCTAATGGTTTACAGAGTCATAATATTGGCCCCAACAATCTAGCTCCTCATTTTACTAACCTTGGAAGGATGGAAGGCTGAGTCAACCTTGAGCTGGTCAGAATCGAACTGCTGGCAGCTGACAGAATTAGCCTGCAATACTGCATTCTAACCAGTGCTCCACCAACAGCTTTTATTGCAGTATTGTGACTCAATTAAAACCACTATATTTAAATACAATAAGCAACGAATGGACGCAGTACTAGCAAAAACAGTACCAGCAAAATTATTTAATATATTTGTGATCTAATTTCTAAGACACACTGAAGCTATTAACTGAATTCTCCTGTGCTTGGTAAAGTGTTTGTACCATAAATAAGAGGCCAATGTATTTAAGTTTATTAAGAACTAATCTTTTAGTGAAGTATTTAATCAAGTAGCTTTCATTCAAAATAAATATCTTAACCAAAATATCTACAACGTTGTTTCTGCTTGGTATAATTTGAATAATATATAATGACTGGAATTAAAATTAATAAAATAAATACTCGAAACATACTCCAATTGAATTCAACTGATCATGTTTATGCAATGCAAGTAGTCCTCAATTTATGGCCAAACTAGGATCAGAATTTCCATACTAAGAAAAACAGTTATTAAGTGAGCCTGATTTTATGCTCTTTTTTGTTATGATTATTAAGCTAATCACTGTTAAGTGAATCATCGGTCAAGCAAACATGGCTTTCCCCATTTACTTTGCTTGTAGAAAGCCAACTGAGAAGGTTGAAATGCGGACTCCAGAATCCGGCAACTATCGTAAATACAACAAATTAATTGCAAAGTGTCCAAATTTTGATCATGTGACTCTGCTACTGTGAGATATTACAACAATTATAAGTATGAAGACCAGCTGCAAGTCACTTTTTCCAGTTCAATTGTAACTTTCTACAGTCGCGAAACAAATGGTTCGCGGACGACAACCGACACAGCATTTCAGTAATATGATTGCAATGGCAATTTGGTTTAAGGTAATGCAGAGTACTATATAGAAATAGCAACATGTAAATGAGACTGCATAAAACAATATAACTATGTAAAATTAGTTTGAAAATAGGAATATGCATATTTGATGACTTACCTAAAATTACAGGATATTTTTACATTTTTTTCTACATTAAAAATACATTTTTCTATTATTTGTTCTTGTAAGGCCCTACTTTAAATTTACCTGAGTACATATTTTTTTTAAACACAGAAATGTTCAGCACTGATAGGCACCACCAAAAAGTGATAGAAACTCATGAGCGGCATCACCGAACAACATTGTCACCATTGTGCTGGACAATACACGTCCGAACTGAGACTGCGCAGTCACCTTCAGGTCCACCGATGAATTGCACAACAGTAGCTTCTGGGAACCCCAAAACATTTAGCCTTCAGTTGTTAAAAGTGTATGTAAACTACATAGTATATGATATGTTCAGAAATTGATACTTACTTGCATATATCATCTTCTGGGTCCTCAAGCCCAAATCTTTCATCAAAAGTAAGTTGTATCAACATATTCTCTTCAACTGCAACTAATCGCCACACAAGTATTATGTTGCGAGGATAAGTATAAGGAAACTTAGGGCTGTGAATACTTCCATTAGTGGATACAGTAATAACCTTCTCATGGTGTGGTTCTTGCACTCCTATAAAAGAAATATAAACATACAAAAGAATAATCAATCAACTGCACAATCAAGTTATAAGATTTTCTTTGAAATCTTCTAATCTAGCATTTGAATTTATTTCTTTAAATGATAGATTACCATGCCATACTATACATTCTCTCAAAAGAATTGTTGGAATTATCTTAAGAAAGATGCCCAAATATTTTTTTTGGCCAAACCTTTACATACATTCTCTCAACATTTTTGTTTTTTTCTTCCTCCTTTTGTTCTTCTTTTAAATGTAGGTGACTTATTATGCAGTGGTTTGTCATGTCTAAAAAAAATATTTGGGCATCTTTCTTAAGATAATTCCAACAATTAAA